ATCCTAATTTCTAGTCAGCGAGGGGATCAAGAGGATATTGGGCAGGGGAAATATTAACCATCCTAATTTCTAGCTGGTGAGGGGATCAAGACGATATTGGGAAGGAAATAAAGTCTTGAAACTATAGGCCGCATGCAATGCGATTGATTGTAATTGTAACCATTAACCAAAATAGAAATAAATTAAAACAAATAAAATATAAAACCTAAGTGATAGGACGGGGGAAGGAGATATTAATGGGTTGTGACTTTCTTATATTAAGGAAAAAAATAAAAAGATTTGTTTGGGAAGAAATGAGTAACTCCTCCTCCTCTGTATTTCTCCCTTCTTACGCCACCGACTGAGACAAATGTATTGTAAAAAAAAAATATATATCGAGACAAAGGGGGCTTGAGTTCAAGTCCTTAACGCTCATTTTTTAAGGAAAATCTTAAAGTCTTCCTATTGGCTGATAGTAGATTAAATAGTTAATGGGGTTAGTAGTTAATAGGTAGTTAAGGGTAAATAGGGTTATGCAAATATAATTAAAATTAATATAATTAATTAATGATTCTCTTTCTCTCTCCTCCCATGATTTTCTCCATAACCCTCTCTCTACATTATAATTAAAAAGAAATATGAAATTAATTTTATTTAATGTTTATTAAAATCCGAATTTAATAATTTTCGTTTTCTAAAATGGAAATTTGAAATTTAAAATATATGCCTCTCAAATCTTGGCAACTTCCGATTAGTATTAAGTATTAATATTTTGTAATGACATTATCAATATTTATAAATTGAATCATCATTAGGGCTTTTTATGGCATGGGTTTGATATTTTTCGTTGTTAGGTATTCGTTTGTGTTATTATTAATGTTGTTCGACATATTTTTTTAATAATTTTATAAGACATTATTAACTTTTTATGTTATGTTTTGTTTGTAACATTAGCAAAAGTGAAATTGTGTTTTCAATTTGTTGGTACTTGAAGTTTATTTACTATTACATCGTATTATCAATTTGGTTCGCAATGATTTATAATCATTTGAAGTGCTATTATCAATATTTTTTTCCAAGCACAATACAATCATTAGCAAAAATTTAATTCATTTGTAAGATTGCTTATGTTTAGTGATTTGAATTATTAATATTTTTTTGTTTATGTTTGTAACTTTGTCAAATGTCATTATCAAGAAGCATACTTGTTAGATATTTGTTTGTTTATGACATTATCAAAAGTGAATTTACGTTTAATGATATAACTATGTTTATTAATTTTTCAGTCTAAGTTAGTAACGTAGTTGGTGTCATTATTAATAGGCGTGTATAAGAATTATCAATGTTTGAAAATAAGATATTAATAATATCTAATAAGGTACTTAACAATCATTAGTTGCTATCATTATCAAAGTTTTTGGATGCGTTATCTATTAAACATATGTTACTTATTAATGCGTTTTAGTGCTATTTGACATTAAACATTGCATTGGAATATTATTAAACATTGCGTTTTCAGTGACTTGATGCGATATTAATGGTTTTTAGTATCTTTATTAAAAGTTTGATGTCATTTATAATGTTGAAGTCAGACATTTTTACATTGATGTTTTGTGTTTATTTTCAATGAAATACTTTTCGTTATCAATGATTTATTGTATTGTTATTAAAAGTTTGGTGTTGAGGGGTGAATGTTGGTTTGCTTGAGCTAATATTTTTCTGGACAATGTATGTTTGACTGAAGCACACAGGTACACTATGTTACAAGTACCCAAGATGTTGAAAATTAGTATTGTGATCATTGAGGATGATAATGTAAAGCAATATTAATTGATCATAAAACGTTAATAATGTCATTAGAAATCATTGGAAGAGGCCATGACTAGATAGTTATAAACATGATGTGAAAATGTGAATCATTAGTATTAAAGATGTTGTAAATCAATGATATTGTTATTCAAACTATTTTTTTTTGAAACTATTCAAACTATTAATTACTATGTTACATAACTTTAATGATTCATTCATAGGCGTTGATGACGAAACTATAAAACAGTAACAATTTATCCAAAATTGTTAATAATGTAATTGTAAGGAATTGATAAGTATATTGAAGTCGTTAATAATGATGAGGTATAATAATAACGATTCATTTCATAAATGTTGATAATGTCATTGCAAAATGTTAATACTGTATTGCAAGTTGCCACGAAGTGAGAGAGAGCATATATTTTTAATTTTCAATTTTCATTTTAAAAAATAAAAAATATTAAGTTTGACACAAGCCGAATTGTTCCCAGCTCCAACTCTTTCCTCGCTTCACACAAGCTCGCCCAAATCCATGAGGACGTGCTTCCTTTCCTGGCCGTAGCAAAGTCTCCATTCGGAAAGTAAAGTCCTTTCATCAATCTTGCCCAGAGCGAAATTGGTTCCGTGATCAAGCGCCATCCCAGTTTAGCTAACAAAGACAGGTTAAACAAATAAAAATTTCGAAACCCCAACCCACCTTCCCCTTTCGGGTCGTTGAGAACTTCGTCTTTACGCCATGGAATGGAGCACTTTTTCATCGAACCCGACCAGAAGAAACGATGGATGAGTGAATCCATCTTCCTGGTTAAAGAGACCGGAAGAAGAAAGACACTCATAATGAACGTTGGGATCGCCTGAAGAACCGCCTTGATCAATGTTTCTCCCCCCATGTGAGAGAGTGCAACTCTTCCACGAGTCCCCTTTCTTCTCCATTCTTTCAATCAGAAAAGAAAAGGTTTCCTTCTTCGATCTTCCCCACTCAGTAGGAACTCTAAGGTACTTATCATGACAGATATAGGATGGGAATCCAAGAAACGTTGTAATGGAATCTCTCACTTCCCCAGGGATGTTTTTGCTAAAGAAGACTGATGACTTGTCCATGTTAACCTCTTGTCCCGTAAGAGCTTTATAATTTCCAACGATATGCATCACCGCCTCAGCTTCTTCCCTTGTTGCTTTCCCAAACACAACTGTATCAACTGCAAACAAACAGTGAGAAAGACGAGGGCAGTTAGGTTTAATTTTAAGTCCCTGAACACTTCCTTCTGCAACCCCTTTTTCCAGCAAGAAAGACAATGCATTGGACATAAGAATGAAAAGGAAAGGAGAGAGAGGATCTCCCTGTCGAATGCCACGTGAGGGAGAGAAGAACTCAGTAGGTCCTCCATTAACCAACACCAAGAACCAAACTGTTCGGATGCATTCTCTCACCCAATCACACCACATTCGATTGAACCCATAAGCCTCAAGGAGTGCGTTCAAACAATCCCAGTCCACCAAGTCATATGCCTTCCTCATGTCTATCTTTAACATCATGTCGTATCTTTTTCCTTTCCGGCGGTTCTTGAGATGATGAAGAACCTCATGGATGATGACGATGTTATCCTGAATCATCCTCCCCCCCGGTAAACGCTGCTTGCATTTCCGATACAAGCTCAGGCATAAAACTTTTCAATCTGCTTGACATAATCTGCGAAACCACCTTGTATTTGAAATTGCAGCAACTAATTGGTCAAAAATGACCAACATTTTCTGGCGACGCAACCTTAGGGATAAGGGAAATATGAGTATCATTCCATCCTTGAGGGAGCTTTGCCAAAGTGAAGAAAGACATCACCTCATTGCAAAGCTTGTCCCCAACTGTATTCCAATACTCCCTGAAGAAAATGCCGGAAAAACCATATGGTCCTCGGGATTTGTGAGCTCCAAGGGAGAAGATAGCTTTGCGGATCTCTTCCCTTGTAACTGGTTTGCTAAGCTTAGAGTTCATAGAGTCAGTAACCAATCGAGGGAAGCCCTGCAATAGACCAGCATCAAAACCTGTATCCTTGGCTGTAAAAAGATCAATGTAGAACTCCCTAATATGCTCCGCAAGAACGGAAGACTGCTTGATCCAATTACCATCCTGTCCTCTGAGCCCCATGATACGATTGAAGTGGCGGCGATAGACAGTCGAGTTGTGGAAAAATTTCGTGTTCCTATCCCCCTCCGCCAACCATTGAATTCTAGAACGTTGCCTCCACATTTTCTCCTCATCTTTCCAAAGAATATCCAGCTCTTCGAGGAGTTTGGTTTCCTCCTCCAAGACCTCATCCGACCTGAATGCCTGAGGCAACATCTCTAGTCTACTTTTAATCTCCTTTTCTCTCATATAATGGGCTTCCAACATTCTTTTGGCCCATTCCTTCAAATTCTCTTCGCATCTTTTGAGTCTTTCATCATGTGATCCCCCCAAGGACCAAGCCTGTAACACCACTTGATCACATTCCTCCTTACCAATCCATCTATCATCAAAGCGGAATGGCGGTCGTTTCCATGGGCCCGGGAAATGAAATGCCAGCCGAACAGCCCTATGATCCGAGCCAATACTGCTCTCGTGATAAATAATGCTCTCCTTAAAGGCTTCCCGCCAAGCTGGTGTACATAGGCCTCTATCCAAACGACTCTTGATGAGACGATCTCCTCTCCGATTGTTAGTCCATGTGAATCTTGGTCCCTTGAATCCCAAGTCCATGAGACAATTCTCAAAGATGAAATTCTTGAAAGGTTGGGATGACTCTCGTCTAATCGGTCCACCTCCACTCTTCTCGTAGTCAAATAACAATGCATTAAGATCTCCGATTACAACCCATGGGACACTACAATCATTTCTAAAGCTAGAGACGAAATTCCAAAATGCTCCTCTCTCACTAGCAACAGAAGGAGCATGAACAAAGGTCATAAAGAAACCACTACCATAGTTAATAAAAACATCAAAATAATTCCGACCACGATCCAAAATTTGGAGATCAAAACCAGCTGTCCCCCAAAGAGCAAGCCCTCCCGCTGTCCCTTCCGGATTAACATACTCCCCTCGGTAGATATTGTTGCTGATTCTTTTTTCTTCCATTGTGTCCTCGGTGTTCTAAGTTTCCATAAGAAAAGCCAAGGAAGGGCGAAACTTTCTCACCATTCTTTTGAGGTGATTATCTGTCCGGGGCTGCCCAATTCCCTAACAGTTCCAACTTATGCAACTCATTTCCTTCCCGGTCGCTTTAAGCCGGCCACCGGCGCTTCAGAATTATTTCCTTGGGAGTACTCTTCATCTCCTGGTTCCTCTAGGTGCCCTTCATCTTCCTTCACCTGGGTATGTTGGACCTTCCTTCCTTTGACTCTGATTCTTGCATTATGTGGTTTATTTGGTCCGTTTCCTGATGAGAAATATGGTCCCTCAAAGTCCAAGGGTTGACCATGTTTTCTCTTCTTGAATTCGGCTTGCCCTTCTTCAATCTGCTTCTCATAAGAGGAATAATCCACTTCAATGGGCTTAAGATTGAGGTCCATCTTTTTGCTGAGATCAAACACCATTTCAGAGACTGTTTGTTGGTTGGCCTGGGCCAAGCTTGCATTAGGAAGGAAATGGGCTTTATTAGGCCCACTTTGCTGGCCTGCTTGATAATGGAGACCCCTGGCCCACTGACTGGAAGCCTCCATCTCTGCCGTGAGGTTCCTTGCAAGAGGAAGATCGTGATTCGGTGAATTAGGCAGATCAGATGGATAAAACCTCGGGATTGTTCCATAGATAACTAGATTTTGACTAGGCGATGGAGCATGGAGCCGTTGATCATTGATTCTCGTGTGCAGGCTTGGGCTGAGCGAGGATCCTCCCGTTAGGAAAGGGTGGGGCGTGAAACCCGAGGGGCTTCGAATACCCAACCCTGCTTGTCCCTCGGATGGCGACGCTGGCGACCCAAGCTTGACCGATCCGGTCATCAGAGAGTCTCTGCCAGGGACCCAAATCTGATTATGCATGAAACCTGGAGAACCGGAACTCGACCCAGCATCTCCCGGAGAATGGTGAATGATTCTTCCCCTCGGTGGTGGTGGGGGTCTCTCTGCTCTAGTTCCAGCTTTCATCCAGGGGGTGTAACGGCCTTCCGGTGGAGATGCCAAGACCGCCGCCATATCCCCCCTTCTCTTCTGGCATTCTTGTTTCACATGACCTTGGCGCCCGCAATAGTAGCATAGGATATAGAGTTTTTCATATCTGAACCCAAGCCAATCCCTCACCCCATCAGTGGTACAGTAGGAACCTGGAGGCAGTGGTCGATTGAGATCGACTTGGACAAAGACCCGGACAAATTCCATATATCTTTCTGGATTGAGCCCCCTCATGTCGATTTGGGGGATTTTTGGAAACATTGCCACCGCTGATTCAATGTTGTTGATTGATCTTTTATGATCAAGGATTCCATGCACCTGAATCCAGTAATCAGCCAAGTCAAAATTGATGTATTGGGGGCGAATGTTCTCGTCCCATGGCTTCAGTTGGAGAGTATTCTCAGAAATTTGCCACGGCCTTCCTTCCCAGGCTCTGTCCATCTCCTCCTTCCGATTGAAGATGAATATGAAGATGTTTCTAAACTCGGGGATATCTTGCACAGTTGGCTCGCAGAAATGGGATCAAGCCCCGTTGATCATGCCCACCATGACTCATTTGCTGATGTCCCTATCTCCGAACACTTTCCCAACCAGCCTCAACCTTGGGGTCACCTGTTGGTGTGGCTCTTCATTAGGAAAAACTACCTCATAGTCTTCTTCTTCCCATCCCAGGTTGAGATCGACCTGGTTATTCGCAGGCGCCTCTGCCATCGTCTCTTTTTTAGTTGTGGAGGTAAGAAAGCAGGGGAGAAGAAAGAACTTGGGGAAAGCTTGATGGTTTGAGAACGGATTAGATCATCGCTCTTAAATAGATAGTTTGGGGGTAGATCTGCCGAAAGCTTTTGTTTCTTTAATTCAAACGAGTTTTCACCAATAGGTGGCCGTTGTGTTTGAAGGAGGAGATTTGCCTTTCACAAGTTTTAACAATCTTCTATTGATCTTTTAATGTTTGTTGTGAGGTCCTTTCCATATTCCCTACCATTTTCTATAAATTAAATCTTTATCCTCGTCCAAAAATACATAAAAGATTGATTTATTTGTCAAAATTGGTTGATGGTGGTTTTGCTTTGGATTAATTATGTCTATCTTTATTCTCAAATTTCATATTAATAATAAAAATCTATTACATCGTTGAAATCAGACTATGACATCGACTTAGCTGGCAATCACAAGCCCTACATTTTCTTGGCCTTCCTGTTCAAGTGGCAGACGATTAGGGTTGTTTTGGGTTTAGTAATGCTGAACTAACAAGACGAATTAGTTTTTGTTCTTGATGCAGGAGCCGGTGGGCTATTGTATGATTTTCTCTATATAATTCTTATTTTCTCCTACGGTTATATAATGGATTCTCTAATTTTGTTATTCAACATATAGAGTCTGGTTTATGTGGAAGGACAACTTGCCCGCCATTCTGATTGTTGGATTCGCTCCTAAAGTTGAATAATTAGTTATAAGTGATACTTATTTTCTAATTTTTTTCCTATGCTTTTTCATTTGTCCATGGGTAACACGTGTATGGCCAATACAAGAAACTCTAGCATACTAATTGGATTGTTGTGTGATTATGATCTTAGCTTTGATAGAATTTGATCAATATGAACCGAAAATAGTGAATATTGGTGGTTCACGAAACAATGGTTAAGATCATGATTAAGATGCAAACTATCTCATTTTTTAGAAAATTAGTTTCAGTTAGTATGAGATAATTCAATATTCCTGCAATACCAAGATGTACTAACAATGGGGAGAAAAAAAAAACTATTTGATTAGTTGCACATAATATTGGGTCTCATTTTGGGATTTTTAAAGTGAACTTTGGGCTTAATGTTGGGTTTGTCTATGGATAAATTTTGTAATCACTTTAAAGTAAGGAAAAAAATACTATATGACTTGATTTAGTGTCATAGTGTGTATCTTGAAAAACTTGTCAACTAATTATTAACATAAAAATATATTCCTGATTTAGTGTCATAGTGTGTATCTTGAAAAACTTGTCAACTAATTATTAACATAAAAATATATTCCTGAAATTCATGTTCTTTTATTTTCCAAAAAACATCCTCAACCAGACCGATCAGTTGGACCAGGTTTGATCAAAATTGGCCAGGAAAACGATCTCCCGTAAATAATTATGAGTGTTAGCTTCTAGTCGAAATCGGAAAATCAATGGCCGGACCAATTTTTCTGGTTTCCGACTCGACAACAAAATATTTTCGTTTTGGAATGATTGAATGAGATGATGCTAGAGTTTTAATGGGTTATTTATATACTTAAATGTAAAATTATTGAATGATACATGTGCGATAAGTTTCATTTGAGTCATTAAATTTTTTTAATTACTCCCTCATTTCTCTCGATACATTTGTCATATGTTTTTCGGTGCACTTCTCGGTTTAAGAACATTTATGTACTTGGAACCAGGAAAATTAAATAAAAAATCTGTAGCTAATTGTTTTAAATGATATGATTTACTTACGTACTTAAGCTAATCTTTGATTCCTTACAAAAAGTCTCCATCTAATTCTTTTTTTAACATACTGCGACAAAGTGCGGGCAACACCTAGTTTATGTATAAGCACAAAGTTTTGTTTATCTCTTTACAAGTTCTTACATCTTGGGTTGGAATGGACAGATAAGGTGTTATAATCTTTAGTTGAAGAGGGCATTGGAGAAGGTATGCACAGTAGTATTGAGCCATTTAAGAAGAACTCACCAACCATCGTGGCGGTAGTTTAAACTCTTACAACTCGGTCATATCACGCTTAAACTTGTTATCAATATAACAAATTATATGAATCGAATACAAAATTATTTCATCATATATTCAAATAGATTGCCAACATAATAAATCGTTAGAATTCTAATACGATATCATCTCATTCGATGAAAATAACTGCAAATATAGCATATAGACGTATCCAACAATTCCTATGGAAATATGGAACTTGTAGCATTTTCAAACATATTCAGAGGGTTCAATTGTACTTTGATTAATAATGAGATGAAAAGGGTAAAGTAGTGTAGTCACTGACATGGGGAGTTGTGGGTGGTGACTGGTGAGTGTGTTTATTCGATTTTTTTTCCTCCAATGGCAGCGCTCGTTATTCTGATATAGGTCGAAAAGGGGGCCAATTTTCTGTGCACCCATTTCCCTTTTCTTTTCAGGCCCTTTTTCTCACCCACTTTCCCTCCCAAGTTTTGCTTTTGCATGTCCCTCTCCTTCTCTTCAGCAATTCCATAACCCATTTTCCACCCGATCATGGGATAGTGGCTCTTCCTCTCTTCTGTAACCACTTTCTCAACCGCTGAATTTGTGCATGTCAACACATCTTCCAATTAAATTTTAGTAAGTTGTAGTTTTTTTTAGAAGGCAGACGCCAAAGAATCATTTAATTTTAAAATTTTTATTATTTTAAAATTGTCACGTCAGACATTTACCGGTCAACTTTTAGAGTTGACGCCACGCAAGCAAAAGTTATCGGAGTTGGACGGAGAGTGACCAAACGTGAACGGTTTCAGTAAACTGAAGTACCACCAATGGATTTAAATATTTCGAGTGACCAAACTTGAACATTTTTTGTAATCTCGGTGACCAACCATACAATTAACCCCTCAAAGAGCTTAGCAACGTGACCATGACAGTGATCACTATTGCTCCTACTCCTAATAATAGCTAAAGCAGTGGTGGAGTCAATGTTAAACTCCACTCTTCTATACCCAAGATGCCATGCCATTTCCAGGCCTTCCACAACTCCTTTTAGTTCAGCTCTAGTGATAGTGCACCTCCCAAGATTGCTAGCAAATGCTCCCAGACATCTTCCCAAGTAGTCTCGCATGAGGCCCCCTGCAGCAGCATGACCAGAAGGTTGGGCAATAGACCCATCAGATTGAACCTGAACCCAGCCTTCTCTTGGAGGTTTCCAGGCAATCTAGAGTCTGGTTTTTGTCATGTTCACAGGTGCAAGGCACTTCTCAGAGTTGGTATGTGCTTGATTGCTTGAAAGTGCCCTAACAATCTGTTTTCGATTTACTTTTCAGGGGGTTGGGTCTCGAGTTTGGGTTTAGGGTCAATTAATTGGCTTGGTTTGCAGGTTGGGCAAGAATGGCTGACAGGGCGGGTAAGGCCGAGCTGGCGGGTCGGGTCGTCATTTTTTAATATTAAAATGTGCTGACCGTGTCTTTCTATTAGCCACGTCATCACTTAACGGTCGTCATTAACGGAGTCTAACGGAGGTTAACGGAGAGTGACCGAACTTGGACTGTTCAACTAATTCGAGTGACTATAAATGGAATTAATCAATTTGAGTGGCAAACCTGAAATTTTTTAGCAACTCGAGTGACCAAACTTGCAATTAAGCCTAAATTGATTTTTGGCAGTGCATGTGTAGTAACATAATAACATTTTAGGTTGTCTAATGAGTCCAGAAGTTTTTTGTGCACATGTGCCTTCTATTTAAAATTTGAAGATTTTGGAAACTTGTGTCGCCGGTTGGCGCAGATTTAGATTGTGATATATGAGAAACAAATAAATATGTGGTGGTTCAAGAACAAGCATATATCAAGATTCAATTGTTAACTTTCGTCAGAGCAACGAAGGTAAGCTTTCTTCCGAAACTAATGGACTTCATGATGATATTAGAACATAGACGGACACAAGACGTGCCTCGGGTCACTGTATAATAATATTTTGAAAGATATAGTGCTCTGGGAATTTAGATGATCTATGTGGAAATCAGAGCCTTTGATATGTAGCATGGAGGAAGCCAACTGGGGATATGATCTGATAGTTGGGGCTAAGATCTAATGTGCAAAGGGAGTCGTGACTTGTGATTTGATGATATCGACTGCTTTCGGGCTCGTATCTTCCCTTATTATCTTCAAACTTCCGTCGATTGGAACAAAGACTTTCCCTAATTCTGTTCAGTCCCTGCGCGCTTTGATGAGGTGGACAATTCCTTACAGAAGCTCGAGAGGAGGGGAAAAAATCACTTCCGTTCAGTAAAAATAACTATGAGAACAATAATAATAATAAATCACTTCCGTTTGCTGCCGTTACTCACACAAGCTCCCGTTAGCCAAACCAAACAAATTGCTCCCGTCACAGACTACAGCTGTGCGGGCTACTTAGTAGGACCTGTCCTCCTGCAGATCCGTTTGATCTTTGACACCAAAATGGCCTCTGCAGACCTGATGAGAAGGCTGTGAGAGCCTGATTTTGCTATATCACCAGTAATAAGTAATTGTATTATATTTAATTAGTTTTCAATTCAAAGGTTGTCTTCATTAGACTTTTCTCCCCTTTCTTTTTTACAAGATTGTCACGATTTGATTGCTTGTTTATATACTTGATTATCATAGTTTTCTTTAACCTAAACGTTAGAATAATGGATGAATAGTTGAATACAAAAGAATTGTAAAACTCTTTGTAATTAATTTTAGGGTTAATATATTTGTTTGGCACTGAATCTTTTCCATACTTCACCTATTTTTATATCCCGACTTTGCTATTGTGTAGGATATAACGTACTCTGCTTATTAAAAAGAAAAAGGATACAATGTACTCCAAGAATATATCATTTGTAACCTTTGAATGAGTATATTTTGTTATAACTATATATAATTATTAAAATACGGTGTGGATTGCTATTAATATTAAACAGAAGTTGAAGGGGAAAAAAATAAGTCAATCTTAATCAATGGAAAGGAAAAATTAACCAACCTAATTTCTAGCCGGCGAGGGGATCAAGAGGATATTGGGCAGGGGAAATATTAACCATCCTAATTCTAGACGGCGAGGGGATCAAGACGATTTTGGGAAGGGGAAATAAAGTCTCAAAACTATAGGCCGCATGCAATGCGATTGATTGTAATTGTAACCATTAACCAAAATAGAAATAAATTAAAACAAATAAAATATAAAACTTAAGTGATAGGACGGGGGAAGGGGATATTGATGCCAGCAAAATTCCAATTGAGGTTTACTATTTTATTAATTTTTTAATGAGAGCAGGTAAGACGACTCTGTCCCCCTCTGTCTGTCCCTAGACTACTGTCAGTAATTAATGGATTGTGGCTTTTTTATATTAATAAAAAATAAAAAAGATTTGTTTGAGAAGAAATGAGTTAGTCCTCCTTCTCTGTATTTCTCCCTTCTCACGCCATCGACTGAGACAAAGGTATTGTAAAAAAAAAAAAGACTGAGACAAAGGTTGTGGCTGCCAGCTATATTATTTTTGCCTTTAGCCCTCATCCCAATTCCAATTGGAATGCATGGTCATATCACATATAGGTTAAAGATAGATATATATTAATTACAGGTTAATTGCATAGTTGGTCACTGAGATTACAAAAAACATTCAAGTTTGGTCACTGGAAATATTTAAATCCAATCTTGGTCACTCAAATTATTTAAATGGTTCAAGTTTGGTCACTCTCCGTCCATTTCCGTTATCTCTAGCTTACGTGGCAGTCAACTTTCATAGTTTACCGTTAAATATGTGACGTGGCAATTATAAAATTATTAAAAATAAACAAAAATCTTTTTACATTTTCCACCTCATTATTACAGTAATTAAAAAACAAAAAAAAAATATATTTTGTCCAAAGAAGAAGAAAAAATTTGTTTCATCCCTTACGCCCGCCGTTTCGCCCATTTCAAAATCCCAATGTCGATCCAACACTCGCCGATTCCGGCGACATTCATTCTCCTCCGACTCGTACTGGGCCCTGCCGCCGCCTTCCGGCCACTAATCCGAATCCATGGCGACTGAAGGGCGCACTATCACAACTGCCCTTGCGACGACCAACTCTATTGCAACAGCTGGAGGCTGAGGCAGCGGCAGAGGTGAATAGACTGATGCCTCGAGGACGTTGTGTTGGAAGGAGGAGATTTGCCTTTCACAAGTTTTAACAAATCTTCTATTGATCTTTTAACTAGTCACAGGCCCGGCCGGTTGGCCGGATTCATTTGCCAATCGCGTGAATAGAAATAGTAATTTTGATGGGAGCTTTGTGTTTATTAGGTAGTATATTTAGAAATAAAGGTATATAAAAATATGTAATATTTTTATTTTTTAGTAGCGTTAAATAATTCAATTTATTTCCTTACAAATCATATTAATATTTTAATTATATACGACATTTTGAATAAAATAATATTTAAAAATATTTAAAGAGCACATTTACCGTCAAATATAAAAACATTTACATGATTCCACCAATTAGTATGAACATTAATTTTTAAAAGCATAGCATAAATAATAATTTTATTTTGTATTAATTAAATCCCGTAAAATGATTATACCCCTTCCAAATGAATTCAATGGATAATTTAATAACAGATCATGTACTTGAAAGTTTAAAAATGATTATACTGGTCATCACTGTATAATACTATGATTAACGTGTTGTCATGTATGTGTTTAAAAAATTGTTTTTTAATTGTAATGAAAATTTATCACTTCCAAATGTACCGGGGAAAGGTGGGCGAAGAGCTGGTAGTATCTATTGATGTTTGGTAGAATGGACAGGGGAAAGGTGGGCGAAGAGCTGGTATTCATCGGCGAAGAAACACCGGTACCGTAGCTGCCGGTGACCAACTCGGTCACCAAACTCCTTGAAGCACACCTCCGCATAATCTCTGAAATCTCCTCTACAACAAAAATTTCACTTTCACACTCAAAATCCATATCTAGCTCTCTGCATCAGCTTAAATCAGTTAGCTAGGATGTACGTAGTTCATACACCATTCTTCGACTAAGCCATGCTCCGTACTCATCCTCGAGAACCTGAGGACGATCGTAGTTGTACAATGACACCTGCGGCTGGATTCCTGAAATTAACCAACCCTGTTCATGAATGCTGCTAAGACATAAAAACCCTGTTCATGGACGGGTACTTTAACCACACAATCATAGTATTTTCCGAATATAGTAACCGACTCATCGAGTAAAATTGTTTTCCGAAAAAATATACTAACCGACTCATTGAGTAAAATTGTTTTCCGTAAAAAGAATATAGAAACCATATGCCAGGGGACCGACTCCTAATTTGCTTTCGCTAATCATTCTATTTGTTCCTCATTGTCAGAGACTATCACTTCATGTTTTCTTTTTAGCTTGTTTGCATTTCCTTTGTCATTAGCAACATCATCATCTCCACCGGTATTGAAGTCTTCTTCTCCATTAGTCCTCTGTTTTGGTTCAATATCAGGAGACTCCACATTGTTCTCAAGAGCATCATTATTTGTTACACCGATTCTAGCCACCGCATCATTGCCAATGCCATTTTCGATCTCCTGCATAATTAGGATAATGATATTAGTTTTTTGCCATTAAAAAACAAAACATATTTGTTGTTTCATTGAATCATAAAATGATAATATCTGGTAAGTGAAGACGTATATAGGATGCTTATATATTCAAGTATGTAGCAACATTCAAGTGAATAGGAAATAAAGGAATGTTGCACTATTTTAAGCTATAAAATTTAACGCATTGCAAAATCAATGTATGAGCACTTGAGATGGCATTGTAATTAAATTATAATTAGAGGGTTCATTTTGAATAGAATTTCCAAATCGTGTTGGTTATAATGCATTATTGTAAATAAGGTGAATATAATTTCACGCTAGTTGGACTTACCTCAATTGATTCTGGGTGATCGTTTGAGTTGTTGTTATCATCCTCCAGCACTATCTTCCAAATTGTGTACTCACTTGTTGGGTTTGCGATGTTATATTCAGTGAGCTTGATGTTGAATTTCAGCGTCATTCCCTCAATTTGTAGTAGATGAGCAGGTGGTGGTCCTCTCATTCGATCGTTGTCTTGGAATAGTTTCTCAGCAGATATACCAAAAAATCGATCACTCTCTCGATTCAGAACAACAAAGTCTGCTTGAGTTGTTTTGTCCGCGGCTCGAAGTTGTATCCTGAATCTATATAATAATTGTAATAGCATAAAGAAGCACAATTTTAGTGTCGGAAGTGTGTAAATATAGAAAATCATAGATTAAATTTTTATGTTATATAATAATAATCTTATCATATGTAGCTACGGATATTGTATATAATACCAAAGGAAGGCATGCACTGCGAGGATCAAAATGGGGCAGTAAGTGGGTTTTTGAAGAATTAAAAATATGAAATGGTTATAACTCCAAATCCAAAAAGCTAAACACAAAAATAATTAAACCAAAAGCAGAAGCACGTTAAATTAAAGAAACCAAAGCAAGTAGTAATTGAACAGGAAAGAGCAAGCCAATAATGATAAATTGTGAAAGGGTGAAATTTGGCTACAACACGAATTTCAGCCCAATTGGGAATAAATCGGCGGTGCAGTAGCTCTTCATATTATTATCGAAACGTTTTGCATTGTGTAGTGAGTAGGATAAAGAAATATATGTAGAAAACACGGAACACAAATTGATATTAATAATTATCGTATTACCGTGATGTTGTGGTCTTTAAAGTCGTCATACAGGTCCCACAGAAGTACTCATCTGATTCTTCTTCAAGTTTTTGTGGACAGGTTCCACATCCAACATAGCACCACCCATTCTTAACCTTGATAACTTTGCATTTGACGGAATACATATTTCCCTGCATATTATATGAATTGTTAGCATTTGATCGCTATTAGTTTGTTTAATTGAAAACGATACGTACCTCCTCTCCATATTTCATCTTCAATTGATTGAGCTCATCTAGTGATATGGATGGGATTATTTGTTTAGTTATATTTGTTCCATTGACTTGAGGAATTGGTGCATCGCCGTCACTGTATTCACCAAAAACGAAGGTAATGGATCATTTTGCATTTTTTAAGCGGGAAACTTATAACGCAACCAAATACGATAATAAAATTGTGGATCGTGAGTTCACCTTGGCACAAAATTGATGACTTCTGGAATTCTTGGATTCGCCAGCAGCAAGGTCGCCCCAATTGAGGTGAATGTGTTCTCTCCTGCAAATATATATAAGAGAAACAGACGATTATTTAATTAAGCTGGTATCATTGATATGAAAATGCATGGATTATAATTAAGGTAATTTAGATGCTTGTTTACCTTTGAAAGGAGTGACATATGTTGATGTAATGACCAGGATGGGACAACGATCACCCGGATTTGCAAGTATGGCATTCAATTGGGTAAGTATTCTACCAAAGAGAGTTACTTTGACAACCAATCCTCTATAAAAAAAATTATGTTAGATTTGCACTTAGAAGTAGATTAACGTATTCTATTATTTGAAACAGAAAGCTAAAAGAAGTACATACTCGGGAAGTTTTAGATGCAGCTCTTTGCGGGAAACTTTTCCAGTAAGTCTAGTAGTTATAAGTAAATCTGAGCAGAACATGAGTTCGCCAACAACATATGTGGAATGAGAACATTTAGTAGTTATTAAATTTTGTTGTACATACATAAAATGAAGGGAAATTTGCATTGAGAATGGTATTTTTAACCTGATAGGTATTTCTTTTTGTTGCACTTATTGGCAATCTAATCTTGTTTGATGAAATAGAACTTGTAAGCTGGTATGGCTGGAATGTCATCGCAAGCTTGGGCTTCGGTGTTTGACTGGAATTTGATGAAAAATATGTTTGGAATTGGCCTGAAATCTCCCATCGTAATATTGACCTTAAAGTTCTTGATAGTGTAGACTCTTTGATCATGAAACAGGGGTTGGAAGTCTTTGATTAGCACTTTGGGAATCTGTACCAAGATATCATTACCCTGGGAAAAAGTAGGAGTATCAATAATTGTCCAAGACTTGAATAATAGAGTTTGAGTTTGTGTTATTGTTTACCTTTGAGTCAATGACTATCATATCAAGACGAAGTACAACATTTGTGTTGGGATTGATTGGCAGCCACTTCCTCGAAACGCGACATTGCAGAACCCAGTCCCTCTTTTCAGTTGTCAGATCGGAGATTAGTTGGGATTGCATATTGCCTGACCTTCAAATAAAACAGCTGTCAAACTACATAATATATATGGGTCTAACTCACAATAATGAATTAAGTACTATTATAATGTAGGGTTTGTGTAATTTAAATAACAGTGATAAACAATATTAGCATTTATAACTATGGATGTTATCATTATATTGAACTTGCGAGCGGGGAAAAAATAAATTCGGTAAAATTTGATTAATAACCTATGTGTGAAAGTGAGAGTGCAGCGGCAGTAGAAGCTGTATTGAAAGAGAAAAGAGAATGCAATAATTTGTAAGATAATAATTAATGAACATGTGGAATAACTGTGCGGCTTGGGGAAACTAATTACTGTACCTGTAAAGTTGCAGCTATGATGGGAACAATGCAGATGAACTGCTTCCAATTGCTTCTCTTGAAAGAAAGGCTGGAGGCGGTCGGTGGAATTGGAAGTGTATCTCCAGATGTTTATATAATAGTTTGGTGACTGTTGCCGTGGAGTCTTCATATAGTGTATATTAGTTTTTAATTAATTTTAGTATTTTTCCATGTACGACTGGTTTGTATCTAGGAATTGTAGTTTGGGTACACGTACATAACTTGCTATGAGATTAGAGTTTGAATACAAAATAAGAGAATAATAATTTAATAAACACAAAACTTAAGAAGAATATTATTTTAAGTGGTTAAAAAATATGGGTACACGTACATAACTTGCTATGGAATTGTAGTTTCTGTCACTCTACTAACTTTAGTGGTTAAAAAATATTAATTTAAGTTGTTTAATGTGTTTTTACAAATCGCCTTTATATTTTGACAGATTTGGGCTAGGATTTCAATAAATCAATTATTGGTATATGTGCGTACCTTGATGGGGTAGGATTAGACTATAAATAAAATAATAATAATAATATAATGGTTGGATTTCGTGTGAAGTGGGGGTTTGGATAATTTTGTGCGTAAGATGTAGGATAATATTTTATTTGTTTATTCAATTTGGGTTATAACCCATATAATCCAATCTATATACTAAAATAATCAAATAATGCAACTAATTTAAATTCCATCCATCTGATTGAAATACAATTTGTATATAAAAATTCTCTCTTTGTACGAAAACAAATAAGTGACAAATAAGTAGGTGTCTTAATGATCCAGATAAAACTCTTTTGCGATCTTTGAATTCATAATAGTTATTAGATTGTAAATGGGAGGATTAGAAATTTTCTTTTCTGAAAATATATGGCAACTGAAGTTAACCCTCGGAATTCGACGGGTGGCACCTCATGAAACCTACTTGTCATACATAGAATATTAACTATGATCTTGAATAAAAATATATTTAAATCCTTCCGAAAATGAAATGAATTCCAAACAACATAAATGCCAAATGTGTTGCCGAAAGTAATTTCTACCTAAGTTGTGCAATGTTAATCAAATATTTCTCCAAACACAATGTTCTGCATGGTCTTCGAATCTTCGCCTTCTGAATCACAACATAAAATCATCATTCCATGGTGCGTTGTAACTCGTGATAATGCAACATAAAGATGACCGTGAGAGAACACTTGTTTTTTCAAGCAGAGACCGACGTGTTTCAAAGTTTGACCTTGACTTTTGTTGATCGTCATAGCAAAGCAGACTGCAATTGGATATTGTCTCCTAACCAATGTGAAATCCAGGCTTTTGTAATGAGTAGTCAATTTAATCCGAGGTAGAAAGATCCTTTCACCAATATGAGTACCTGTAAGAATCTCCACTTCAATGGACCATGTGCCTAGCCTCTTGATAATCATCCTTGTGCCATTGCAGAGACTTGTACTTTGATCCATATTTCTTAATAAAATGATAGGGCATCCAACTTTCAACCTTATACAATGGTCTGGGAAATTACTAATCTTTAATGTATTTAGAAACTCCACTGAATAATCTCTCTCTATATGATGCTTGTTACCTGGATCAACCTCGATTGAATCTGAACTATGATAACAAACTTCATCTCCTGGAAACCTTTCCATCACATAGTTATTGATTGTCGATACCATTTCATGGTGTGGGGCCAATATAGCACGGTGAACCAAATAAGTTCCTTCACTGTAATTCAAATGGAGATCACCATACACATGGTGCACAATATCAGCAATGCCATCTCCATCAGGTTCAATGCTCAAAGAAGTTGGAATTGTAACCATTGACTCCCCAAAAACATTGGAACCTACTCCATCACCTATATCCAAAATCCATCTGCTGAATTGGTCAATCTCTATAGCTTCTTCGGGTCCACAATTTTCAGGGCATAATCTCATATTTTGGGAGTGTTTCAAAACTTTCAGTGAAGACCATAAGTACGACCTCTTGATATAAGAATTCGCAATATCTGCTCTGGTTCCCTTAGCAATTACTGGCAATGTTTGACGAAAATCTCCACTAAATACAACAAAAATACCGCCAAAGGTAATGTTCTCGCTGTTTGAATTTTTGACATGCAAAATGTCTCTGAGAGTTCTATCCACTGCTTCAATATTGTGCTTATGAGCCATAGGAGCTTCATCCCAAATAATCAGAGAAGCATTATGAATCAACTCTGCTAGATCGCTTCCTTGTTCAATATGACATGTTGATTTTGAGTCACAGTCAATTGGAATGTGGAATCGAGAATGGACAGTTCTACCTCCAACCATTAGCAAAGCTGCAATACCAGAAGAAGCAATGCACAACACAATTTTCTTTTCTGCACGCAATTTTAAACAAATAACTTTCCAAAGAAATGTCTTCCCTGTACCTCCAAATCCATCAACAAAGAAGCACCTCCCATTTTCTTCATCCACAGCTTGAAT